CCAGGGGAAAGTTCCTCCCTGCAGGGTCTGGATCCAGCCCAGTTGCCTTCCTTGCTTAAGCTCCAGGCAACTCAAGGCTATGGGGATGGGCTCACTGTCCTGGCTGGTGGTATCCAGGGGATGTGGGAGGCAGACAGGTCCATCATGGGGCTGTGTGGGCGCTGGGATGGGGCAGGAATGGCCAGGACACACCCACAGGGGCATCCCTCAGAGCTGGGCACTTTCCACACTGTCCAGCCTGAGCAATCCCAGGCACTGCCCAGGGCTGGGGCTCTCCGCAGGGACTGCCTGCAAGGAGACCTGCAAGGCAGAGAGGATGATGAGAACGCCACCAGGGGGATAAGAGCACCAGATCAGCAAGTCTTACCCCCACCCTGGAGCCCCTGAGCCCAGCCAGGTGTGTCCCAGCCCTGCACAGGAGCAGGTGGGTGCTGAGCTGGACACCAGGACTCACCTTCCTCCGGTGTTCCCTGCGGCAGGCGAGGAGCCGCAGCAGGTCGAGGGGGAGCAGGAGGCAGCGGATGCTGAAGATGATCTCCATCAACTCGAGCAGGAGGGAGATGGCCCAGAGGGACAGCGTGGAGCTCTGCAGGACACAGGGCATCAGATCCCAGCACCTCCTCCCCATCCCCACCCAGAACCCACTGGGGACTCACGTAGATGCGGGTGGGATCGAAGGGACACTCGCGGGACACCGGGGCAAGGGCGATGTTGGTGTCAGCACACAGGGCCAGCAGTGCCTGGCCCTGGTTGCCCAGGGTCAGCCCGATGGCCACAGCCAGCCCCAGCAGGCAGGACAGGCAGCACAGGCTGCTGCAGGTGCTCAGGGTGAGAAGAAGCCATTTCTGCAGGAGGGAGAGGAGAGGCAGAACCATGCAGGGCCACCTGTCCGTGCTCCTGCCCCAGGGACAGTCTCTGAGCGAGGGGACGTGGTGGCCATGCACACTTGAGGGAGGGTACAGCCTGCTGGGTGCTGGGAGAGGGGCTGGGGGTGCTTACAAGGGCAGCAGGGCCCAGGTAACGGGACAGCATGAGGGCAGTGACTCCACAGGAGATGGTCTGTGAGGAAGCACGGAGAGGTCAGCAGTGCACAGTGCCCACCCAGCCACACTGGGTCCCCTTTCCCTGCTGACATTGTCCTTGACAGCTCATCCAGCCAATTCAGCATCACTGAGCAGTGCTTCATCTCCCCCAGCCTCACCCAGTAACCAATCCCTGTGTTTAATCCCCTGGGTTTGTGCTGGAAAGGCTTGTTTAGAGCAGGGAAGGGGAGGCAGAGCAGTGTTCATCCCACCTCCTCCTGCATCCCACCTCCTGCCCACCCTGCATCTACACTACATCCACCCCAGATCCTCCTGCATCCACAACAATCCATCCCTCATCCTCTGGCATCCCAATTCCTCCCCACTCTGCATCCACGGCAATCCAGTCAGCATCCTGCATCCCATCTCCTGCCCATCCTACAACCTCATCAATCCATCCCTCATCCTCCTGCATCCCAATTCCTCCCCACTCTGCATCCACGGCAATCCAGTCAGCATCCTGCATCCCATCTCCTGCCCATCCTACAACCTCATCAATCCATCCCTCATCCTCTGGCATTCCAATTCCTCCCCACTCTGCATCCACGGCAATCCAGTCAGCATCCTGCATCCCATCTCCTGCCCATCCTCCACAACAACCTATCCCTCATCCTCCTGCATCCCACCTCCCTGTATCTGCATCCACCCCATGCCCCCTGTGCCCCCAGCCCCAGGGTACCAGCAGTGCAGTGATGACAGAGGCAGTGTTGCTGATGACATACTGCAGGGACATGGCATCCTGGCGGGTGACCACGAAGCGGAGGACAGTGCCATGGACAAGGGCACCAGTGATGAAGTTGAGGTGCCCAAAGATGAGGAGGATGAGGCCTGTTTTCATCAGCACCTTCTGGTGGCTGCCAGGGTCGAGGTGGCCTGAGATGAGGGGAGAGGAGGGTGTGGGGTGACCAGCACTGAGTTGTCCTTCCTGCCCTTGCACCACACTCAGAGCTGGGATGGGGCATTTGGGGACAGCCCCGGAGGATGTGCCCCATGCTGGTGGGGAGATGAGGCAGGAGATGATGTGGTGGAAGCCACTGGTAGTCCAGGTATGCAAACCACTGCTCCAGCCAGCTCTGCTGGGGCCAGGGTGGTGGTGTGGGGCCAGTGACCATGGGGAGAGGTGTCCCTGCTGGGGCTGGGAAGGACTGGAGCTCCCTGGAGGGACAAGGAAGCTCTGGGAGAGCAGCTGTCCATAAACAACAGCTCCAGCACTGGGTTCTGGCACCTGGAGCTTTGAGGAGTGACTATGGGGCTGTTCCCCATTGGGACCCACCCTGGAGCTGCTCTCCTCACACTCAGCTCCATCCCTGACCCTGTCCCAGCCCACCAACTCCCATCCCTCCCTCCCTGCCTCAGTTTCCCCTCCAGGAGGGCAGTGCTGGAGCCCTCCTGTCAGAATCACCATACCAGACCCAGACTCACCCACTTGGCACATCTTCACTGGGGCAGGATCAAGTCATCAGAGCCCCTCGATGCCCTGGGGACCTGCTCTGCCTTCATCCCCCAGGGCAGACAGATCCATCAGGGTCCAAACATGTCTGAGCAGGACCAGAGCTGGAACCAGGACGAGGTCACCGGAGCCACTCGCCTGCTGCACCTCACTGCTACTGATTCCTGTCAGACCAGCTCCCCGGGAGGAACAAAGGGATAACTCCACCTTCACCTGCACCTCCCACCCCTGCACTCCCCTTGCTGCAGAGCCCTGGGCTGTGCTGTGACATGCAGTGCCATGCCATGCTGCTATGCCGTGTCACACTGCCTCATCCCCTTCCCCATCCATCCCCACCTCCCCAGCACACTCAGGTCATTCCACCAGGATTCAGCCAGGCAGGTCCAAGCCATGGGCTGAGGGTCTGGGAAGGAGCAGCCCCTTGGGATGGGACACTGCCAGACCACAGAGCTCAGCACCTCCAGGTCCCAGGGACTGACCTGCAGAGGGCAAAGCAGAGGGGTCAGGGTGGGTGGTGACTTCCCAGGAGTGACTCAGAGGAGATGGTTTGGTGGTCATCACCCTCATGAAGCTTCCAGGGAAGTTACTGACAGCAGGAGACAGGGAGAGGGATGGGGATCAGGGCTTGCTGAGGGGGCTGTGGGAAGAGCACTCCTATCCTTACCCTCCTTTAATCTGTACCCAGCCCTGCTGCACAGGGAGGAGAAGAGTCCCCTCCTCATCCCAAGCCTTTGGGAACAGCATCCACAAACACCTGAGCCAAGGGCAAAGGCACCCAGAGGATTTTCCTGTAGCTCTGGAAAGGATGAGCTGGATGCAAATCGAATGACAACCAGAGTCTTTATTCCAACAGTCCCTTAGGATGGTTGCAGACATACAGACACACGTACATATTTACACTCTTACACACCTCACAGAGTTTGAACCAATAAATTAAAACAAAAAGAGGGCAGGGGGATTTTTTTTTTCTCCTTTTCCTTTTTTTTTTTTTTTTTTTGTCATGTAAGAAACAGCAACTCCCCAGGGCAAGAGGTTGGGCAGCCAGCTGGGGAATGGCAAACAGAAGCCAACATGGACACAACCCTGGCCCAAGAGATGCAAGAGCAGCAAGTGTGTTCCCAGCAGGAGAACACATCACACTCTGGCTTCGATGCACTCCAGTTGGACCATCTCATCCAGCCGACAGCCCTCGGCGTGGGCACAGTGGCTCAGGTGGGCACTTGGGCTCTCGGCACCTCTAGCTTTGGGGGTCTGTGGGCAACCTGCTGCAGTCTGAGAGTGAGGGGAGTCACACTCGTCCGAGGTAATGTCCGGCACGTCGTCTGACTGGCTGTCCGAGCTCTCCAGGTCGCTCCGTATGCTCTCGGGCTGGGCCAGGGTGATGTCCCAGGTTTGGCTGGCAATGCAGTCCTTTTGCTCACAGCTTTGGTGTTTGCATGTCTGCTCCTGCTCACCATCCTCTTCTTCCTCATCCTCCTCCTCTTCCTCCTCCTCTTCCTCGTTCTCTGCCATCTGGGTGTGGACGTGCAGAGAGTCCTCCGTGCTGCTGCCGCTGGTCAGCTGGTAGTGACTGGGTTTGGCTTCAATGTCCACCTGGATCTCCATGTTATTGCACTCCCTGCAGAAACAAGCACCCTTGGGTTACTGGCAACAGTCACTGGGTTCAGCTGGGCACCACAGCACTGAACTGGGAGGATCACACTTGCCAAACATCAGCAAGATGCTGCTTATCACCCCACGGCACACGGGGAACAACAGCACTCGCTGCTCTGCTCAGCTCCTCCTCACGAGATCATCCCCAGGCTGAGCCAGGAACTGAGCTGGGAAAGCTCCAGCGTTCCCCAGGAGCCTCCAGAACAGACCTTGAGGGTGCTGGGCTGCAGATCCCACTGCTCACAGAGCAGGGATTTTTCCAGGACACCCACTACCAACACTCCTCTCACCATTCTATGTCCTCCTACCTGTCCTGGGGGTTGTAGGAGCTGATGATGGAACCAGCCATGGCTCGAGTGCTGGCGTTGTCGCTGATCGCCCCCAAACTGACCGAGTCCTTGGGGAAAATCTCCTTCTGGACATCTGCCTGAACTTCCAGCCTGCAGGGAAGAGGAGGATTCCTTAGAAATGCTTTAGATATCGCCAGGGAGCACCAACCAGGCACTGTTTACCATGAGAAAACAAGAGGCCCTGTGTGCTGGCACAGATCGGAATGACTGAGTTTAACCCCAATGGTTCCTTTCATCGAGTCTCTTTTTTGGCTCCATTTAGGTAAATCCATTCTGTTTTCCGTGACGGAGGAAAAGTTGTGTTTACATCCATGACTCACACAGTTCCTGAGAACTGATTTCCACAGAACTAGCGCAGAGCTGTGATTACGTCCTGGCTGCCATATCAACACGTGGCTCTAATTACCCAGCAAACTGACTCACAGGCAAGTTTGGAGGAAAACTGGGCTGTAACCTCCTGCCTTGGAAAGCAGGGACCCTGCTGGCTATAGGCCACTGCAGAACAGGAAGCATCAAAGCCTCCAGGCTGGGATAAGAGGGCTGGAATAGCTTTAAGGAGGCCACGCAGGCGTCTCTGTGCTGTTCCCAATTAACCTGAAGCATCAGCTCTACAGTTTTCAAGGAGCTCAGCAGGGAAGGAAACTCATCTTCTGTCCTCCTTGCAAGAACCAGCCTGGCACTGGCTCCAGAAATCACAAAATCATGGAATGGTTTGGGTTGAAAGGGAACTTAAAGATCATCCAGTTCCAACTGGAACTGACAGGGACACCTTCCACAAGATCAGGTAGCTCAGTTCTGTCCACTGGTCTTGGAACATATTCAGGGATGGGGAATCCACAGCCTCTCTGTGCAACCTGTACCTCACCACCCTGGGTTGGACTGGTCCCTGACCACCCTGGCTGATCTTGCTGGGATTGGTTACCCTATGACACGCCAAGAGGCAAAACCACTCCTCCCAGATCAAAGCAGGACCACTCCGAGCCCTGGAGAGCTCCTCAAAACAAACCTACTCAACCAACACAGGCCTGGGGAACCTCTACCCTTCTTTTGCTGTGCCCATCAGTCCAGTTACCTGCTGTACTTGCCCTTGCTGCCCGAGAGGACTCCCCCGCTGAGGGTGCCGCCCGACAGCGCGGCGAAACTGGCTGTCTCGCTGTAGTTGCCCTGCATGACACTGAGCCCATCTGTGGGGCTGCCACTGGTGCTCAGCACACTGGTCAACCCCTCAATGCTGCTCTCACCAATGCTGGGGTTCTTCAGGGCTCGCCAGGCATCAGCCACTGTGGGGAAGAGAGCAGAGGGACTGGAATCAGCAAGGGAAAGGTTTGGCTGGGATGGCTCATCTCAGGCTGCCTCCCAGAGTGAGGGAGGGCTAAGATTTTGCTTGGAGAGTGACACCTCATCACCACAAGACTGAAGCAAATAACTTCTAGCCAAACCCAGGTGAAGACAGATAATCAGATTGGGGGAAACATCAAGACCTCCAACCATTTCATTACAAGAGGTAACAGCGTTTTGCTTTCTCCCCTACCTGTGATAGGTCCATCATCTTCATCAAACTCGATTTTCACCCCCTTCCCATTGGCTGTGCTCACTCCACAGCCTCCACCCCGGCACAGCGAGATGGGCACGACGCCGTAGACGTAGGCCAGCATGATGGGGACCCCAATACCTGCAGAGGAGGATGTGCTGTGTTAAGAGGAGCTGTGTTGGGCAGGCAGAAAGGACTTTTTGGGGTAGGGACTCCCCTAGTTGTGTTTATGCTGCTTTTAAAGGTCTTAGTTCAGTTTTGCAGAATGAGGAAACCCCAAGAGCGTTGAACTCCCAAGACATCAGCCACCAAACCAGTCCATGACTAAGACAGCTCTGTGTTTCAAGGGACTGGGCTGTGGCACAGGCAACTGGTGCTCCAGACAAGCTCTGTGCTGGCTCCAGGCCACCTGGAGCACATCAGGACACGCAGCCTGGGTGTGAGGCAGAGCATTGTGCCCAAACCCACACACAGCAGCAGTCTGCAAACTGCTCTTTGGCCACCCCCATCACACAGGACTGGGCTACACACTTGTCTCAGTGGTTACTGGGCCACCAGAAGGGACAGGGACTGAGCTCACTTACCAACACTGACAGCAGCGATGACTGGAGAGGCAATGACAGACAAGGTGACCCCACCAGTAATGGCCAAGTTCCTCTTGTGCTTAGAGGTCTTCTTCCCTTCATACCTGCTGTGGATCTGATGGAAGGAGAAGCATCAGGTGAGAACAGGCTGGCCACGAGCAAACACCCAGAGGACATCAATATGTGATTTTACAGCCTTGAGAGCTGCATGAGCCCTGAAAGAACCTCATCTTGAGCACAGATCTTGTCACAGATCAGACCTAGCAGGTGGATCTGTGTTCAAAGACCCCTGTGAAAACGCAGCACCCACAGTACAGTGCTGATGTGCCATTTCCTCCCTCTCAGCATCTCCTCATCAGCACAGACAAACAACAGCATCACAGTTTGGGGCAGCAGGTCAGCACCAAAACACAGGTGACTTAGGCAAGGCAAAGTGTGATGCTCAGGGTCCAACCACTGTCCCACAGAGCCCAACATCACAGGGTAGGCTCAGAAGGGACCAGGTTTCTCCTTGGGTGCTCCTGAGTCAAGGCAGGGGCACAAAAGCAATGCAAAATGCATGTGGGAGGACTTGAGCCTGAAGGACTATCAGCCACCACCTTCCCCCTGCCCACACAAAGCCCAGGAGATAAGACAAGCTATAGAAGAAACAACTGAATTTGGTTCTGTGACAAGATCCACCCTTCATATCAGCTCTGAATTTCTGGTCAGATGCCTCGAGCACAGAGAACACCCCAAACCTTTCTGCTCTCCACACTTACCTTCCTGCCAACATACACAGGGATGCCAATGACCATGGCAGGAATGGCAATGCCAGCGATGAGGGAAATGCCTACAGGAGCTCCAATCAACGTGCCCAGTTGCCAGAGAATCTTCTTTTTACGACTCCATGGCTTTTTGCCCCAGAATGTACAGCCAGAGGGGCTTCATGGAAAGAAAAAAAAATGACATCAACACTCCTGCAATTCCTAAATGTTACTGAGAACCCCAATTCAACTTCCACACAAATAAAACCCAACACTTCAGGAACAAGTAGACAACACAAAAAGGGTTTCTTTCTTTTTAATTCCCATCAAGATGAATTTTTTTATAGAATCATGGAATGTTAAGAGGTTGGAATGGAACTTAAAGATCATCTAGTCTTAACTCCCTGCCCTGCAGGGACACCTCCCACCACAGCAGGTTGCTCAAGGCTTTAGCCAACCTAGCTTGTAATCATCAAGGTGATTATCACACTACTGGCTCTGTGTTTAATATCCAGTAAACCAAGAGCTCTCAAAAAGCAATTGTATCAGGAGGAGCTTTTTTTGGTGTGGAAGAGCATCCTCACACCATAAACTGGGAACAAAGTTCAGCTCTTTGGGTCAGAAAGCTGAAGATTTTTCTGACTGACTGGAGTGGCAGGAGGATAAAAGGCCAACACACCCATGGAACTCCTCCAAACAGCCTCAGAGAAGCATGTGCTTCAGGAATCCAGGTGTGCTGCTCCCCTCCTCACCTGAGGTAATGCAGATCCGAGATCTCCTTCATGCAGAGCCAGCAGAACTCACAGCCACACACAGCACATGTCATGTGGTTGCAGCTCCCATCGTTCATCTTGATGATGTAAGCACTGCAGCGAGGGCACGGCTTGATGTCATCAGCTGTGGGGAGCAAGCATGGGATTGAGTGGGAATCTCTGCTGGGAGCATGAAGAATCAACCAGGGGGATCTTTTTATGGATGTTCTCTATGCTGGCAGAATACCTTTGCTAATTAAAGTGGGGACATTGTGCCTTTAGTTTACCTTCAGAGTGAGCAGATAATGTTGAGACCAACCCCATTTTCCTGGACAGCAGGGACTGAGAGCAACAGTCACTTTAAAAGCCTCTTCTAACCTCGAATGGGATGTATTCCAGAGCATGCTGAAATGCTGGGAACAAGTCATACCTGCCCTGTGCTAGCCAAGGCAACAGCCTAAGAATGAGCCATTACTAAATTGCTCCACTGAGGTGATTCATGGGCCAAGAATAACAGAACAACTGGGAGAACAGGCACTGGAGAAATCCCAACCTGGCCTTCAGGAGCAGCCAGAAGGGGAGAGGGGTCTGCAGCCACACAGGGGGTGGTGCAGAGGCTGCTCAGGCTCCAGGCTGAGCAGGATAAGGGTCCTTCACCTCTTCCTTAACTCAGGCATCATCTGATGGTGGTTATGCAATGGCTGTGCTGTGGTTCAGGGCTTTGCTGGCTTCTGCAGCACTCAGCAAGATGAAATCCAGCTGCTGAGAGCTGCTCACACCTTATTAATCACCACACTGAATCCAGAATGGGGTGGGGAAAAAAACCACTGTCTCAAAAAACTCCTTCTCCACGGCCTTCCTGGCAGGGATCTCCTTCAACAGGGTGGAAAAAACTCAGAAACTGGGTTGGTTTGGGTTTTTTTTTTGCTGGCTGGTTTGTACCACAGGCTGTGGCAGTGTCTATGCTGTCCGTTCTCTAACTGGGGCATGTTGAACCTCGACCTACCACTAAGCCACCTCTGAACCACCCACGACAGCTCCACACTAGGTGAATTCACATTTAAAGTCCTGACAGAGAAGGAAAAACAGGGTGTTTTGTTTGGGGGTAGGGCAGGACTTAACAAAATGGTCTCACTGCCCATTTCCAGAGTCAATCCAGCTATATTTAAGGACCACAAACTCTGCAGACAGAGCAAACCTCCTTCCAGGTAGCGTAGGAGCCTGTGGGTTGGCATTTTTTCACTGCCTGGCATCACTAACACCTAACAGTGCACAGAGCAAAGTTCCCCACACTCAGCTGGGCATGAATGCTGCTCTTGACAACTGCAGCAAGCAAATTCAAAGCTGCCACGGCAAGAAGTGACTGTTTGTTCAGGGTTTACCTCAGCAAAAAGCAAGAACATCCAAGATCAAAAGAGCCACAAGCCTAGCTGGGGCGGATGAGGGGAGTGCTGTGACACAGAAGGACTCAAAGCACATCATTACCTACTGATCTGTTTAGAGTTCTTGGTTGAGAAGTCCTAACACACAGGAGAAGGGGAAATGACTCTGAGTTTCACAGCTGTGGCTGCTGGAGACGCTCCACTGTGCCAGGCAGGGCACTACCACTGCAAGGGCAGAGGTTGGCACAGAGGTGGCTCTTTTCTCAGCTTCACACACACACACACAGAGTGAGCCAAACACACAGGAATTCATACCTGGCCCAGATTCCTGCCCGTAGCTGAGGCCTGAGGTGTGCTTGGTGCGCACGCGGAGAGCCTGTGCCCGCTGCTGCCTGGCCATGTCACAGGTCTGGTTGGGATGCCATATCTGCTTGCAGTGGTAGCAGAACTCTGTCTGGCATCCATCCCTCTCACAGGTCAGCTTGGGGCAGCTGGCACAACCGTAGGCAATAACGGCGTAACTGCAGGAGGGAGACACCAAGGGAATTAGGAGAAGGTTATCAAGCAAGAGTTTGATCCCCAGAAGTAGACTGAAAGGTGGAATTGAGCAGTTAAATCTGAAAGCATAAAGAGTAACTCTGCTAATAGCACTGTTTCAGCTTAATTAGCAAAATAGCAAGGATTGCATAGTACAGACAAGCAGCTTCACTAATGGCATTGTTTTGGCTTGGTTGGTGAAATGATGCACCTTAGCTATAAGGCAGTAGAACTAGACTCAAACCTTGGCAGTAGGAGGGAAACTAAGACCAGAGAAGGTGTGGAATGAAGAAACAAAATGTACAAGATAGAGGCAAGGTCAGCAAGGAATGCAAAACTGTACAAAGGGGTAAATGGTTGCACAATAAGGGTGTCCAAAGGGTATTGAGGAAGAGGAGACACTTTATCTTCACCACCACCAACGACCACCAGGACCATGGGACTGATGCTAAGAGGGAGGAGATGGAGGAGGAGTATATGATAATGATTTCCAAGAATTATAATAATAACCACCCATTCCTAGAAATAATATGAACATTTAATATATATAAACTGTGAAGTTTTTGTCTCTAATTGCACGAGTTTGGTGGAACAATCTCCCTTGTGCCCAGTGCTGAATAAACAAATACCTGCTACTCAGAGATACAAATGAGTAGTTCTTTTCCAGGCGTTTCTCAGCATCAAGTTCAGGGATGCTTTCATTCAGCCTGCTCAGCCTGTGGCTGCCTGAGCTCTCTGCTCAGAGCTTTTGGCATGAGCTCCACCAAACAACATGTGTCTGTACCCCCAGAGGTGCAGCAACACCTCGGGGCAGGTCACCCTGTGCCCACCACATCTCTCCCAGCTCATTTCTGACCAGCCTCCAAGCTCCACACA